GTGTGTGATCTGCAAGCTGCCAGGGGCTCCTTGTGGGGATGCAGCAGCCCCCACACACCACACAGGCCCTGGCATGGCAGTGCCTCTCCTCGCATCCAGAGAGGACACAGCTAAGAACAAGAAACCTGAACAGACTAAGAAAGCGCAGTCTCCCAAAATGACCATGCCCCTGAGACCTGCTGAACACGAGCTCCCCATCCTGTGAAGACCCCAGAAGCAACAACGGGAGGAGCAGGAAGGCAGAGTCGCCGGGAGGTGAGGCTGAGATGGCCCTGCTTCTTCCTAGCTTAGCCTGGCCATGTGTCCCTTGCCCCAGCTAGCACCTCGTACTTTTTCTCAGCAAATGGTGCTGCCCTGGACCAGAGGGGCTGTAGAGCCCCTGTCACCTGCCGAGGCACCCTCTCCCCCCTGTGAGCCCCTATCCTCTGCCTCGGGATCCCCTCTCCTCCAGAGCCTCCTCCCTGCTGGCTCCTGCCCTCCTGTCCCTGTGGCTGCTGTCCCCTCACCCGGGTCCTCACCAGAACGGTTCCCTCTCCCACCTCCCTGTGCTCGGCCTCCAGGTGGCATTTCACAAAAGCTGCTCCTCCAGGATCAGCCAGCTTCTCTTGCTTTTCCTCCTCCCGCCGGGGTCATCTGTCCCTGTCCCTGTGTCTTGCCGCTTCCCATTCAGGCTGTGAACTCAGCGGCTCTGTGAGGCCCCGACCTGTGGGCCTCTCCCATCGCACTGCAGCAGGAGTCCTCACCAGCCCATGTGGGGGCTCCAGACCTGCATGCAGGTGAAACACCCTGCCCCAGGTGAAAATCCCTGCCCTCTACCTGGCTTCACCAGGAGCTCCCTGTGTTGGCCCAGAAGCGGCATTACTGTGCCCCACAGGGTCCCGGGATGCACCCTGACCCTAGGCCTGTCCGTCCTGCTCCCGTCCTCTCTGCCTAAGGTGCCTCCCTCCATTGGCAGCAGGACAGTCTGTTTGTAAGTTTGGCTCCCAGCTCCACTGGGCCTAGCGTTCCCTTCCCGACAGCCCACACCTATGGCCCAGCCCGCTGCACAGTGGGAGGTTTCCCGACCTCAGTCCTCACCTTCGCAGCGCCGCCCCCACGTGGGAAGGCCCTCGGCCAAACCCCTTTCAGACTGGCACCCACTCACCTCTTCACATCCCGGCTCACCAGCTGGCTGACTCTGGACTGGTCGTTTATCCTGTCTGCACCCGTCTCCTCATCCTGAAAGCAGAGATAACAATTAGTGCCTGGCTGCCTCGCGGAATTGTTGTGAGCAGTAAAGTTAATAAATTGCTAAGTGCTTGGCCCACACATAGTAAGTGTCCCGTGCATGGTGACAAGCTTCCTCCTTTGTGGACTTCCTGTATAGACCCTTCTCACACTGCAGTTTGAATTTAGCACCGGCCGGACAGCTTCGGCACTGTCAGTCTCCTCAAGTGGCCAAGAATGCCTTGAGGGCAGGGACCATTTGTAACCCTTGCAGTCATCCACCTCAGTACTTTTCATCATTTGGACCCTAAATGTCTCCTACGGGCCCAGTTGCCAGCCTATGGCACTGTTGGGAGGTGATGCACCTTTAGGAGGTGGGGCCTATGGGGGGAAGCTGGGGGTGGCTCCTGAACGGGTACTGGGACCATTGCCTTTCTTTGCTCTGCTTTCCTTCCGCTTGAGGTGGGCAGCTTCCTCCACCGCCATGATGTACTACACAGGCCCAAAGGCTGCAGGGGCCATGGACTGAAACTGAGCAAAATAAACCTTTCATCCTTTTAAATTAGCTCAGGTATTGGTCTCGGCAACAGGAAGCTGACTGACATAGTACTTGGCCCTTAAATTAAGAAGCTTTTGCCACGGGTGAGTTGATTTGGTGAATTACCTCTGTAAGGTAACCACCCAGGCCCTGCCTGCATTCAACTCCCGGCTCTACCATGGCTCAGGCAGGTTAATGAACCCATCAGGTGCAGTTTTCTCATCTGTAAAATGAGAGTGGTAATGCTAGCACATCTGCAGAGGATTACAGTGAACTTTTAATTGGATAATCAATAAGCCCAGGGACTCAGCAAATGTTGGCTGGTGCCAGCCATAGTCGGCTGACATCATGAATTCAGGTCTTGGTAGGACCTGGAATCAAATCCCCATGGGGTGATGGGAGGGGCTGCTCCCAAGGGGCTGGGGCATAGCTACAGGGAGAGAAGACACTCCTGAGAGCAACTTCCTGGAGTGTTTGAGTTGGCTTAAAAAATAGCATGGTAGCTCGCACGTATAATCGCAGCGACTGGGGAAGCCGAGGAGAATGGCTTGAGCCCAGGAGTTTGAGGCCAGCCTGGGTAACGGAACTAGACCCTTCTTAAAAAGAAGCCAGCCTGCCTGCATCCATGGTGGTCCAGTGAGAGGAGCTGTGCCTGCTGGGGCAGGGCCGGGCTTCTCAGGATCTGCCCCTCACAGCTGGCCACTTCTGCAGAGCCTCCAGAGCAGGTGGTTTCCTGCTCTCCTGCGGCTCACACTCAGCACCCATTCTGAGTCCCTGCAGTGACTGCTGCAGCTGTCCTGGGCCCACAGTGTGCAGAACCCCCAGCAGGCCTTGTTTAGATTCCCAGGGCCCCACAGGAGGAAGGTCCAGGCAGGAACTGGCCCCTCTCCGGCGGCTGAGCCACGGCCAGTGTTCTGGGCTGCGAGAGACAGCGGGCTTTGGCTCTCCGTGAGGCCCTGGATGGGGCAGCTGTCTCTTTGCCGAGCCCATCAGTCTGCAGGACTGTTTTCCCATTCGATCCGAGCGCAGGGCAAGGGACCACATGGAGAATAGCCATTCCTGGCACCTTCCGGCCTGGAGCCTTAATGGTGTCATCCATTTCTCACAGGTTTCGGTTCCTACCTCAGGAGCTCATTGCCTGTGGTTCTCTCTGCGGACTTAGTTGGAGGGGAAAAGCCATTTAGGGGCCGAGGAGCTCAACTGCTAATGATGGTTTGTGCCCGCCTGATCTTGATGTGAGAGCAGTGCACGGCCTGCTTCTCAAGAAAAAGGTCTGTTCACATGGCTGCCTCTAAAAGGGACGCCTCCAGGCTGCCACAGCAGCACAGGATCTCCAAGGGAAGGTGGCCCCCGAGAGGACAACGGGACAACCTGGCCAGGGACTGGCAATGCCAAAGGCTTCAGTCTGGCCTGCCCCACTGGGTGGCTCTGAGACTTGGAGACTCATGGGAAAATGTGCTCTGCGCAGTCACGTGATGGGATGGGGCGGGCAAAGCAGTGATGCCCTGGCTTCCCCAAAGAAACAAGGTTTTCTCCTCCAAGATCACAGACAGTATACTGCACAGATGCAGGAAAACACTCATGCTTGGACAGAAGGCCCTTGCTCAGGCTTGATGGAGCACCTAGAAAGAGGAGCCATCCCACCAGTGCACTCCTTTGGGCGCTCCAGGTTGTGGGCGTGGCCAGATGGCTTGAGGGAGGAGCTGTCCTTGAGCATGCGTGGTGCAGGCTCAGCCCCACCCAGCTGCTCCTGCTGGCCCCTCCTGACGCCCGCCCCACCTGGTTAAGGCACTCACTCCAGTTGAGAATCAGCCCGGTGCTGGGAAAGAGGAGCCCACCCAGTGTTCGCAGGAGAGGATAGGACTCCTTGAATGAAAACTCCATCCAGGCCGAGAAGAGCCACTGGGGGCGGGCAGGGGACTTGGAGCGGGTTGTACTGTTTCTTGCCGTAGGGTCTGAGGAGGGGGTGAGCAAAACATGCAGGTTGCGCAGAATTCATTTTACCTGTGGCCAGATGCTGCTTCGACTTTTAAGTAAATGAACCAGACCCAACACTAAGGCCCGTCCGTGTCTCTGGCCTCCTCCGGAGCGCACCAGAAACCCCTCGCGGGAGAGCTCCTCGAAGCATCTGCAGAGCCCTCTGGGAGATCTTGATTTGGTAGCCTGGGTTTGGAAATGGATCTTGAGCTTTTGAAGTCCTTTGCTTGTGAAAATACAACTCCTTCTCCCTGTGGGTGCTTTTGACTAGCGAGGGCTGAGGACAGGCACACAGCTAACTTCTTTTCAGAGCAGTACCGGGTCGCTGCTGAGGGTTAATCCAAAGCCCACGGTTCCATGGGCGAGGGTATGGCTGGCTGGAGGAAGCCGTCTGTGGCCAGATGAGGATAATAGTTTGAGTAAATTAGCAAGTCTGGGGAGGAGAGCCCATCAGCAGAATGACAAATTTGGTATCTTTAAAGACATCTGGTCAGCAGTGCCAGAGCTCGTGATTGACCGGGTGATTAATAATGGAAAACCCTTAGATCAGTGTTTCCGTCCCCCGCACCCACTCCTCCAGCCGGGGCACCGTCTGCTCAGCCTGCCAGGGCCGGGGCCAGCTGGACGATGGAGGCATTTAGGCCTCTCCTCTTTGACCTCTGCCTGTGAGTTTAGGCTTTAGTTTTCCCTCTCCATTCCCAAATGATGTGTGTTTTCTAATGGGCAGCATGGTGGGAAGGCTCACATTTGCTCCAGGGCCATTCAACTTAACAAATGTATACTAAGGCCCTGCTGAAGGCCAGAGCCTCAGCCTACACTCCAGCCCATGGTCCCCTTAAGACCCGCCCTGGGACACACACTGCTGGGGCCTGGCACATGCGCATCCTCTGTAGGCCCATGGTCTGAATGCTTGGTGTCCAGGCTGAAGGACTCCTAGGGAACGGTGAGACCATTAGGAGTTGGGGCTTGGTGGGAGGAATTAGGCCACAGGGGTGTGGCATTAGCAGGCCGGGGGGAGGGGGTTCCTCTCCCCTTCCTCGCTCTGCCTCCCTGCCCCTGTGAAGTGAGACCTTCCTCTTCCATGCACGCCTGCCGTGTGTGCGCCTCAGCACCGGCCCAAAGGGAAGCCATAGACTGAAACCGTGACCAAAAGAAATCATCTCCTCTGTGAGAGTAGATGGCCTCAGCTGCTCTGTCACAGGGAGAGAAGCTGACCGACACTCTCCAAAGCCCCCAACTCCCATCACCATCTCTAACTCTGGGCTGACTTTTTCTCCAGGCTCCGGCAGCTGGATAAGCACAGCCAGGCCACAGCCCAGCAGCTGGTGCAGCTGCTCAACAGGCAGAACCAGCTTCTCCTGGAGAGACAGAGCTTGTCAGAAGAGGTGGACCGGCTACGGGCCCAGGTACAGGAGCCCCAGCGTGGGGTGGGAGTGCAGAGGGGGGTTCGGAGTCCTCTTTCAGGGCTGCACCTTGACAGGCCTCAGGTTTCCCTGCCGCTTGGTCAGCTCAGCCCACAAGCCAGGGGGGAGGCCCAGAAGTGGCCTTGTGTAGAAGGAAGGGGCATGGAGACCTGAGCTGAGCCTGGCCCTCCCACAGCCCCAGGGCATGCAGCACCGACCAGGGATCAGAAGGAGGGCAGGGAGGACCACATGGTCAGGTGGGTGTCCTACAGGGGGTGGCTGGAGCGCCCCTGAGGGTGTGGGGACACTGTAGCCCAGAGGCTTCATCCTAAGTCGGCTGGTGAGAGTCAGGTCAGCTCCTGCGCTCACAGAGGCCTGGCTGCCTTACACGGAGAACACACATTTGCTCTCTTCGCCTGGAGCAAGCCAGCAAGATTGACCTTATGGTCTCCATTTTACAGATAGGGAAACTGAGGCTCAAACAAGCATATGCAGCTAGCAAGTAGGGACACTACAAATGGAGCCTAAGTCTGATAACAGCCCTGGCTTTCCCCGTCCTGGTTAGATAATAGGGGGAAGAAAGAGTCCAGGTGAGTTTGGAGACTGGAATGAAACATCTTTTCTCCTAAGTTGCTCTCTAGCTGTCAGGGGGCTCTGCTTTTTGCCCCATCGAGCAATTTTTAGGACGCAGAGGTGCGGTGTGGGCTGGCGGTAGCGTCTGCCTTTACTAGGACTGCACCCCAGTGTGCTGTGAGGTCCCAGGCACTTCCTGCAGCAGGTGCTGGCAGGGATTCATGGGAAGAGAGTATCTGGAAATGGAAACGATGAGGAATTGTCTCTCATTCGCCTTTCCAGATGACCATGTCCTACAGGGCCAGCAGGGAGCTGTAATCACTGGCTTTGCTTTCCCCTCAGACTAAGGCCTCTGCACAGCATTCATGGCTCCGAGTAGGGTGAGCACAGCCCAGTGCTTGGCCTTGACCTGAGGCCACTGGGGAAGGAGGAGAGCACACTGTGCCATAATCACAGTGGTAAACAGAGAGAAACGGGCGCCAGCTGCCCCTGACGCCTGCTGGCAGCACAAGAAGAAGCCACCGGGTTCTTAGTGTAGGGGACACTAAGGTCCGGGAACCTCCCAAGAGTTTGGAGCCAGAATGACCAGAGAACGATTCCACACAGTGGAACCGTCCTGAGGCCCGGCCAAGCCATCTACGCCTCTTCTGAGCCTGTGTCCCCATCCGCACAAGGGCATTATGAAAGGGCATCGGAAGGGGTGAGCACCCCCAGCAGGGTCTCAGGTACTTGGACTGAGGAAACGTCAGGGTCTCATCGTGAGAGGGTCCAGGACCGTCCTCACCGTGCTGCCAGCCTCTTGTGCGTGCACAGTGTCCTCCCTCAGCCTGGGTGGGGTGGGCACCCAGGTGGGGTGGGCAGGCCCTGAGTGAGGCCCTGGCCCTGCCACTGTGGGCCTGGCCCAGCTAAGCTCACAGCCATTGAGGTGAGGAGGGCCCTGTCACGTGCGATGGAGGGACCCAGACTCGTGACATGAGTGACTCTTCTGGCCTCTAAAGGACCTAAGAAGTAATTGAGGATTCAGCTGGGGTGAGAGGGAATCCCAGGCACCCGAACTTTCCTCCCCGTGACATGCGCTTTGCTTGTTACCCGCCCTCTGCCTGCTTTACGGGACGATCGGATCTTAACATGGACCATCGGTGTTTAGGAGCCTCTTCCAGGGCGTTAAAAATCTGGTAATTGCCAAATGAATTGCAACATTTGCACAAAATGCATCTTTCAAAACTCCCAAGCCTCAAAAAACCCTCAGAAAAGCTAGCAGGTCTTTCTTGCCTTGCCTGAAGGAACAGGAGTGATTTGCCCATCCTGAGCCATCCGATACCGGCCTGTCTCGCCCTTCTCTAAAGGGGCCTTTCAGACTCAGATATTACACATAGGGTTATTTTAAGATGAGCCTGACAAAAGCAATTTGGTAGAGAAAACGTCTGCTTTCAGTGGCAGATAGCAGCAGCGGTCAAACAGGAGGCAGGGTTCGGTCTGGCGTGCACTCTGCCAGCCCTGGGCCCAGCTTGCTCCGAGTCGCCACTGCACGTCTGAGGGTTGTGTGGCTTTACCACAGCACCACCGGCCGCCTGGGCTCCTGTGATGTGTCCCTGCTGCCCCCCCGGGCCCCCCCCCCGCCAGGTTTGTCGCTGCTGACCCAGGCAGGTATTTCCGGGAAGCTGCACCTAAGGGATCCTGGCCATCAGCCAGGCCGCCTTCCCGGGGACAGTGCCCTGGGCTGGTGCACGCGGGCATCCGAGGTTTACAGCCGTCTCCACCTCCTGTTTGGGGATGGTTTCGCTAAAGGCTTCCATTTTCTCAGTCTGGATGAATTAAGCATAATGGCTTAATTTTGCATGTTAAACTCTAAAAATCTCTGTCCACTCAGTGCCCAAAAGAGAATGGATATTTTCTGGCCCAGGCAGCTGCTTGGAAGCTGAGTCACATCCCTCCAATTCGCTCCTTCACTCGTCCTGAGCCCACTGTCCCGAGCAGCGGTCAGATGAGCGGCTCAGGGTGGCCTGTGGGCTCTTACAGGAGTATCTGGCATGTTCAGAAGGCCTGATTATCCTAAACGGCCTCTGCTTCAGGCTGGAAACACAGCCACATGTCTGGCAGCGAGGTAGCCCTGCTCGTGCCCTGGTGACAGAAGCATCTTGGGTGCTGGTGTGCAGTGGGCAGCCTGTGCGGAGGGGGTTCTGGGCCTGGACCCCGAGCTCGAGGCTGGCATGCTGGCTTGTTCTCAGTTCAGGCCCAACCAAACACAATGGCTGTATTAGCCTCCTGCCTCACTGTGGGAAAAACTCCTAGAAAAAGCCTTTCAGGGTGTGAAATGGCTGTCGTTGCCCGAGTGGAGAAGCAGAGACAGTGAGGCACTGACCCAGCTTGACCGTGACCGAGATCCCCTGAGATGTGTGTGCTCACTGTCTGCCCACGCGCCCAGGCAGGGCTGGGCTGGGTGCACCTCTCTGGGGAGACAGGCTGAGCCCTCGGCCGGAGTGGCGAGGGGTGGCATTTGGGCTGAGGCCCATGGGTCCCCGGGGGCTTGGGCCAGGCCTGACAGCTTGCAGCAGAGTGAGGAGTCTCCAGCCAGGCGCCCAGGGCCCCTAACAGCTGGCCAGAAAGGGTGGAGGCACCTGGTGAGGAAGTGAGAGTCTGTTCTTGGGGAGAATGGCATCTGGGATGGGGGAAAGAACAGAAAGTGTCTGTCCCAGGAGCGAGGCCTCTGAAACATCCAGGCGTTCATGGATTTATCTGGTAATGACTGCTTGCAGCTGGCTGGCGTTTCCGACGGCTGCAGCCCCGCACAGGCTATTGGGTTCCACCCTGGATGTTCAGGCTGGGGAGGGATTCCCTCCTAGGCCCTTCGTATGAATCACTTACAGTTTAGAAAACAGAGTCAGAAGCTGACTTGTCAGTGGTTAATCAGTTGGCCCTATGACTTTTAAGCATTCTTGGCAGTGAATTTACTTTCTAATTTGATTTAAACTTGTGCATGGATCCAGCAGCCATATGTGATTATATTCAAGATCATCGACATTATCTCATTACACCAAAGGACTCATAGAATGGAGTTGAAAAACAAGCGGGAGGAACAGACACGGACTGCAGAGGGGAGGAGAGGCCTGGCATGCGTGGGCAGAGGCTCTTGTCTGCCGCCGAGGAGCCCCCTGGGAGAAGAGGCGGCCCAGTGGCGGGTGGGACTCCAGGGCTGCTGCCACGCTCCGTCCTTCCCACAGCCCAGGGCTCTGCCCAGCTGACTTCAGGGCTCCCACGGAGTGAGCTACCTGCGAGACAGATGGTGCCTGAATAGAACAGCAAATACTCTGAACAAAATAAACCTCAAAGCCTCCTCCCAAACCAAGATTTTTTTGGAAAGAGTTCTAAATAGATGAAAACAAACAATTTGATTTCAACCAAATTGTTGTTTTTTTGTTTTTATCCTGATTTTCACCCGAATTGTCAGCCTCAAAAATAAACACTGATACATTCCCAGAAAATATTTTTCAAATAAAAACTGACTCTGTTAAAGTTTGCCCTGATTCTTTCAAAACTGTGTACAAGACACTGTCAACCAAAGTGACTTGCATATTTTTTTAAAATAAACTCGAACATATGCAGCTAAAATGTCATTAACTCCCTGCTGCCTGAGTGGTTTTAAAGAATGACATAAGACCCCAGGTGCTGGGTCTCTGACATAAGGGTCTCAGGGCCCTCGGAGAAACTTCCCCGGCAACTGGAAAGCAGACCTCGTAACTGTTTCTGCACCAGGCAACCTGCACGCAACTGATACTGAAAAGTGCTCCGGGCTTTGTTGAAGCCAGGCTTGCTCTGCTGTTAACAGTTCACTCTGTCCGAGAGCAAACACTTTCAGAACTAGAATCCTGGAAGAAAAAATAAGCTGAATTTTATATGGCTTCAGATACATTTGTTCCACTTATTGCTTCCTGAGTCAGACATTACATTTTGCAATATAAATTCACAATCAAGATTTTAAAGGGAGCTAAATATTTTAATCCAATTAGACAAGTGAACAAAACACTGAATATTACATGTAGTGTAGGGAAGTGGTTCTTGCCTTTAAAAGACTGTAATTCCGTCGCATTACAACCCCAAATGTCAGTGTTGTCTTCATTTTTAACGCTTTCAAACACGAGGCAGCCAGAGGCTCCACTCTGCTGTTGGTGACACTGTCTGTCCTTTGGGAATCTTAAAATCTATTTACCATGGAAACATGGTTCACATAAAACACAGGCACCTGCCCATGTGCAGAGGCAGCGCTCTGACTGGGGACTCCGGAGAGCAGGAGACAAACTCGGGTCTGCGGGCGGGACCCTGCGCAGTGCTCTCTGGGAGGAGCTGGCACTGCGGGCCCGGCCGCCCCGACGCCGACCGCCCCGCCCCCGGCCTGCTCAGTGCCAGTCCCCAGTCCCCAGTCGGGAGAGCCGCCTCAGGGGCCAGGCAGTCTTTTCTGCGCCTGCCCTGCCTGCCTCGGCTCAGGCTGCCTCACCTGGCGCCTCCTGTGGAAGCCCAGGGCAGCACAGCCCGGCCTCAGGCGGAGGGAGAGCAGGGCCTTGAACTCCGGCTGCCACAGCCTGGACCAGAGGCCCGGGGGCAGCAAGAGCGGGAGAAGCGACGCCGGCCGTGACCTCGCTGTGAACTCCGGCCCGCTCTGCAGCTGCTGACCCCAGACTCCAGAGAGGCGGTGGAGGTGGGAGGCCCCGGGACAGCTCGGTGCAGGGTGGCTCGAGGACTCCGATGGAGCAGCCCGGCCTGCTGACAGGTGCGGCCCTGCTCTGCGGCCACCAGGCAGGGTGTCTCCCCCCAACACTCTGTGACCCCAGGTGGACAGCTGAATCCCTCACCCCGGTGCCCCTTCGCCAGCCAGCCCAGACCAGGCGGAGACCGAGCCTTAGTCTGGCGAGGAGGTCGCACTGCCTGGGCTCCCATCTCAGCTCCGCACCTCTTCGGGTCAGTCGTTCAGCTTCCGAGGCACTGAGCCTGGCCCCGAACCCCAACTGCTGAACTAGCTGCCCTTTAGGAGGGAACTGCGTCTGCTATCCGGAGCCCAGCACGGATGGGGAAGGAAGCCACAGACCTAGTACCCTGGTGCACGTGGAAGGAGGCGGCGGGAGAGGAGAGAATGGGACTGAGACAGGGAGGGCAGGAACACACAACTGCTCCCGAGGGCCTGGGCCTCGGACGGGCGGGAGCGGTGGCCCCGGAGAGGAGGGGCAGCTTGGAACTGCCCGGGAGGCAGCAGAGGCCCCACACAGCTCAGCTCACCCGGAGCAATCCTTTCTTAAACGCCAGACTTAAAAGTCAACTTCAAGAAATGGGCACTAGGGGCCAGGTTTGGTGTCGGAGGCTCCAGCTTTAAAGGGAGAACGGTGACCGGTCAGCCCAAATGGCCGGCGGGCAGCGTGCGATTCTGTCGCCTGGGCAGACAGCTGAGGGAGCAGCTGCCCAGCGCCCAGGGGCAGCCTCTCATGCCCGGGGACCACTGCCCTGCAGATGTGGCCAGGCACCCAGGAGGGCCGCAGAGGGGCCTCGATGACAAGTTGAAAGGCCTAGGGACGGGAAGCTGGTGGCCGAGGGCTCAAGTTGCAGTGCCCACGGCTCCCGCACACTTGGCACAGGGTGTGGAGGACGGAGCCAGCTGGAAACACGCATTCCCTAAGAAATGGTGGCCGAACAGCCAGCTGTTAGCGCCTGCTGCCTCGGCGTCCCTGGCTGCACTGCAGGACGAGGGGAGGCACGGAGAACACACTACGAAAGCTTCAGCAGAGCCGGGGCGACCCGGGCCGGCCCAGACGGCAAGACCTGGCTGCAGCTCACTGCACGAGCGGAGGTGCTGTGATGTGACCGTGAGGATGGAGGCGGGCTTCCCACCAAAACCAGCGAACCCAGGGACAGCCGCTTGCCTCCGGGGAAAGTCAGGCCGACTTCCACTGCTTACGTCAGGAACCTCACGTCTGTGCTGCCCCGCGTGGGCGCGCGAGTTGAAGGCGACCATTTCGGCTGGGCTGAGAGCTGACAGGGGAGGGACGCGCAGATGATAAGTGACTGGGTGGCCTTGGGCCCACCGGCACCGGCACCGCAAAGCCTCATTACGTGCTAGCAATGCCGGTTTCCTGGGGCTTCGGTTAGAAACAGAAGAAACAAAAACTGTAACACACTTTGCTTGTATTTCCAGTCTGTCTCTGTTCTGTATCACAGATGTGGCTGTTTTCTATCCAGATTCCTTTCACGTGTCTTTCGAAACAAGACCACTGTGGGTTGTGCACGTCCTTGTTCCCAGGGTGCGCCTGGGTGCCCTAGGGGTGGGACGTGGGGGTGGATGGGCGTGAGGGAACTGGCTGCCTCAGCGTTCTCAGAGCGGGCAGGAGGGACACGCAGTCCTGTCACCGGGCAGCCACACCCAGTCGGCTCAGCCCACCGGAAGGGAGTCAAGGCCTGCTCAGACGGTCGGCAGCACGTCCTGGTCTCGGCACGCTGACTCCCTGCGGCGCTTTCCCCAGCCCCAGGGACCCAGCTGCCCCTGAGGAAAGCCTTCCACTCACAGACGTGCTTGCTGAAAAGCCTTCAAGTCCCTCTCACACACTGCCATCCAGAGCAAAGCAACAGACCGCTTCTCAGACTTTGCTTGGGTGAATTCTGATTTCAGTTTCACTCTGTCCCAGCTTGAAAATCCTCAAGTAACCCAGGCCACATCTGGGCTGTGAGTCCTCCTCAGAGTCTAGCTCAGGGCACCCCCGTGGGGAGCACCAGGCCCCGCGTTGCCTTCCCACCTACCCCGGGGGTGCAAAGCAGACAGCGAAACCCCACCTGGCCTCTTCTGGCCCCCACGCTCCCAGAGGAGCAGCTGTGTGGTGTTCCTCCTCCCCCAGGCGGGGGCGGTCACGCTTCCCCTCACTGCTCCTGCTGGGGTCTAGGCTGAGGGGAGCAGCCCCCGGCACAGGCAGGCCATGCAGCTACTCGGGTGTGAGCATTCCCCAGGCTGTAAGATCAAGGGCCACAGCAGACTCCCTCTTCTGGCAGCTGGGAGGTTCCCAGGTGAAAATGCCTCTATGCTACAGGAAACTACGTGCAGCTAAAATTTTGGTGGCTTCAGCTCGTCTCATTTCACCAGGAATTTCTTAGGGGCCCTCGGCCTACATCCTGCTAATATTCTACCTTTACCCCATAATGTCGAATCATTGTGAAGTGATTCTCTCTGGCCGTATCTTCACATCAGATGTTCTTACGCAGAGGGACAGGTGTCCACAGTACAGCCTCCTTTCAGGCCAAAAGCATTAAAACAGAACAGCCAAGCCTATATTCACGTGCATCATGGGCTTTCATCAGTGGTCAGCTGAGGCCTTTACACAACCATATATATATATATATCTTCCACAGTTTTAGCCAATTTTTCATCAAAAATTTAGTAATGAAAGGTGACTAAACCAGCAAATGAGGAGAAAAATCACATTGAAGAACATGATCTATTTAAACTTACTTTTTATTATCATTTTTTTCCAGTTACCCAGCATGCCACAATCTGATTGCTGACCTGGATGAAACAGAGTGAAGTAAATGACTTACAAAGAGATATTTACATTCATCCAATTTGTACTCAATATGCCACAACACAGCACAACCTTCCCAGGGCGACACCACCTGGGGCTGCATGGGGCGGGTCCTCATCCCACAGTCTCTGCCCCACGCTTTGGACTGGAGCCCAGTCAGACCCTGGGTGAGGGCCGCTCCTGGCGGATGTTCTCAGAAATGGCTTGAAGTCAGTTTTTAAATATGCTCATTTTTATGCTTGATTATACACAGGAATTGTAATAAATGAACTTTTTAAGGACTTGAGTTGTAATGTTTCCTTCTTATCTGTAGTAGTGATGAACAAAACACACCAAAAAGGCACATATTTTAAACAGGCCAAAGTATACTAAGGACCCAACGTTTTCCCTGCCATTCACTTTTCTTCCCCTTCTTACGATCTACCCACTGTCCTTTGTCTTTACTTGCCTTTCATCAGCATCCACATTTGTCACCCTACTACTATGTGCACATTCAGGAGACACCCGGAAACACTGTTCTTTCCCTTCTGTGAACAACAACAACAACAACAACCAAACAGACAAAAAAGCATCTTTGGCTCGGCGGTGTCAGACTTTTTTCCCCACAGCAGAACTTGAGCCTACAAATGTACTTAGTGAAATTAGAAAATTTACTTATAGAGTATATCAAATATCTGTACATGGATCATTATTTTAGTCTAAAATAGTATTTGTACTATACACAGTCAAGCCCTCAAATGCTCTAAAGGAATAAAAATGGACACTGAAAACTGTGGTATCTGAGGAGGTCAATGAAACGCCAAGGTTGTGACTGCAGCTGGGACAAGCCTGCTCCCCACTGGCATCAGGTCGGCACAAATGTGCTGCTGCAGGGGCGCCCAGCCTCGCAGGGTGACAGGACTAGGCTCGGAGGTGGTGGCCTGACCCCCACAGAGACCACCCTCACCTGTGGAGCCTGCCGAGTGCTCAGCCTGAGACAGCAGTACTTCTAGAGACGTTTTCCGCTTCATCAAATGTGCCAGACATAGAGGCTGTCACATAGGATATTTTAATTGTCCTTAATTCTGTTGTAGGTACACTGTGAATAAATTATACAATATTCTAAAAATAGCACCTTAAGGAATTACAGAGGTCACTTTTATTTCAGCCTCCTGGATCTTCAGCCCCAGTGGTTTTGAGAGAAGAGCACACGTAAGAATGCCCCCAAATTTGGCTGTATGACATACACATATGCCTGACTCTGGTCCCAAAAGCCATTCTGCTCTCTGGCTGAGTCACAGGAGCAGAGCCAAGTTCTACAACAGTAGCTTTATGAGGTAAAATCAGAAAAAGGCCCCATCTGGAATGAGTCAACATAAATCAGACTGTAGTCCAGCCACCCTGCCTATTACCCCTAAGTTCATTAACTGCCACGCAGTATTCAAAATATACTCTTGCAAAGGAAGTATGCAGAGCCATGCGTTATCAGGAAGACATCAATGATGAGCTACGTTCCTTAAAAATTCTAAGCCATTTGTTGTGATGATGATTAGGGTCTGAATGAATCCTGGATCTGAGACCTACTCTGTCCCTAGCTCCACAGCAGATCTGTCTTAATCCCGCTGCTGAGAGCCCAGTGTCTCCCCTTTGGAAGTGGCCCTTCATCCAAGTTTGTATAACTGCACTACTGCCATTTTACTGAAGTAAAAAATAATCCCATGTGGTTTAAGCTACGAAGAATTTACATATTTTCCTATCACATCTTATTCTGGATTGGTTAATACCAAGTTGGGGTTGTTAAAAATCTTTTTTTTTTCTAGAAAAGAACAGTATTTAATTTTCTGAGATTACAGAACCACATCCAACAACAACAAACAGAGAAGTAGCAGATTGACATAGTGCTTTATTTAAGCTGTCTGTACGAAGGAAAATAATGTGCATCCCTATCATATACGTGTAAAAATACTAAGGATGTACAGTGTACAAAAACAGTTTCTTGTAGTTATTTCACATCCTTGTGGGTCATATACTTAAGGAAAGAAACAGTTTTAGTATGACCAACAATAATAGTAATACAGTTTCTTGGGTTCATAGTTGCGTCTGCTTAAAATCCTTAACCAGTTGACCGAATCTTTCGCAGATCTAATGAAAGAACTCGCAAGGTCAAGAAATGTCACAAACTATAAAGCTACAGGGAGGTAATTCAATTACCGATTTAGAGGTTTTCTTTTTATTTAAATAAATACTTTACATTTCATGCTTGCCTGTAATGCACTACCAGGAGCAAGATAAGGAAGTTCTACTGTAGACAGTACAAACGGCAGCAGCAAGTGTGTACACTGAGGTGTAGTATAGAGACCCTGCAGTTAGTAAGGGAGGCCCTTACTTTTGTATTCTAGAAGAAGCAAGTGGCCCCCAAGAAGTCAGCTTTGATAAGCCAGAAATCAGGTGTGAGAAATGGAAAACATTCTGGAATAATGCTATGTAATTAGTGTAGAAAGCGAAGCTGGGCGCAACCCTTGCCAACAATCCAAGCAGAAGAGGCCAATTTCCTCCAAGATGGCTGCCTTGTGACAATGGGTCAGACTTCACGACAGTCCAAGCTGGAGTCTGCCAAGCTGGAACTGTATCTGGGTAGGACGATTCCAGGCTTCCAGCTGTTCTACCTGCCAGAATCTGGAGCTACAGCAATGGGCAAGTCAGGGAAGTTTCACAATTTCCCTCTGCACACCTTTGCGTACTGTCTTAAGCCTTCATGCCACATGACTGAGATCTGCGGGGGAGAGGGAGGATTCTCAAAATCGAAGCCAAGAACACATTTTCGGTGACACCGACTGCCTTGGAGGGATGACCGGGCCCCCCGTGCATGGCTGGGGACTGGGGGCCAGCTGTGAGGAAGGGCCGGCCCCAGGCACTGTCAGCGCCCATCATGAATCTCTACAAAGTATCCTTGGCCAAGGTCATGGAAATCACCTTGAGATTTTTTGGGAAAAAACCAAAACAACAAAAAGCTGTGTGCTTAGTGTACAGTGTCCTGCTTTCCCTCTACAGGAGCAAATGCCCTGGACGTCAGCCAGCCTCGGCTTTCTCCTCTTCTCACCCGCTTCCTTCTTAGAAAATGGATGCAAGACAAGGAAAGGACATACCTTCTAGTCTTTCTTGTCACTGTGAAACATTCAACAGAATCCCAAGTGAAAAAAAGTTAATCTATAGATGTAAGAAGGAACTACCATTTACTGTAACTTCCTACTTAACACTAAGGATGAACATCACTCACAGAAATAGGAAAAATTAGGATGAAATCTATGTCTGAATATGTCTTAGCTGCCTTAGTAAAATGCCCTTTAACCCCCGTCAGTCCCAGTGACCCACCCACCGCCAGCAGTGGTTTCAGAGCTATAAATCCTCACTTCCAGCATCACGAGGCTAAGACATCTGCATATGGATATGATTCACCCTACTAGAAAGTCACTTGCTCTCTCATACAAAGCAATCTAATACTATGTCACGATGCAGCCTTCCATTTGGGAGCTGTCAGAGTTGAACTAGAATACATCTCCATGATCATTCCAGGGAGCATGCGCCCTTCCTGCTCACCACAGGCAGGGCTCCTGCCCCTTGGACTTTATAGGCTGCTTTGGAAAATGTCAGCTCCTAGCACCAAAGGGTTTAATCTGAAGATCATCAGTAATGAAGGAGAAAGATGAGGTTTGCATACATGTCCCCTTTCAGTGAGAAAGGTTGGGATTTGGAGACATGAGTATGTACAGAAAAAGAAAAGCTAGAGGTGTTCTTTCTGTTTTGTTTTGTTTTTCCCTGATGGCTTAGTTCAGTGATAAATGTACCTTGATCGGAATAAACACAGCAGGTTTTCATCTTTTACTGACTACTTCATCATGCTCGCAATCTGTTGATTTTGCCAAGTAATGTTCATTTCTTAACATTATTCAGGTCTCGATTTTCTTCATTATGTTATTATGTTGCCAGGTCATCCTAGTATTTTAATTCTCAAGTGAGCAAACATCAATAGCTATTTGTTTTCCTAACCCCTTGGCACGAGTAGCTGATTTTCTCATTTTCAGCACAAAGGGGTTAAATGATGGGATCTCTTCTCCCAAAGCCAAGTTCTAATCAATCTGTACAATTTCGGAGCCTTATCAAAAAAAATTTTTTTACACAGGACAAAAAGTGGATGATTCTCATCAGCGTGTACATTCCTTGCACATGGGTCAAAAGAAACTGCAGTAAGTCTGTTTCATGTAAGTTGGAGCTGCATTTGCTAACATGACATACAATTCTCACTGCTAAAAAATAAATACTACTGCAATATAAACAAAATCATAAAAGGACATTCAAAGTTTTAACATCTGAGAAGAAGCTAATCACCTAGAACTGAAAAAGTAAAAAATTAAAACTAATAAGGCAAACACCTGTTGGTTTACCTTGGTGTACAATTTTGGTGAAAGCAGGATCATTACACCTGTCTACATTCTTCAGCCATCAGAGGTGATAAACATCAAGAAGGGAAAAAGGTTCCCAAGCACAGGGAAAGATGCTCTGGCACAGTGAACCCTAAGACCCTGTAAGTGACTGATCCCGTGCATGTGCACCTGCCGTTTCTCGGTAGAACAGTGTCCACTTGCCCGTGATTGCCCGTGACATCTGGACGTCCATGCATAACACTGGGCTTCCTCTGTAGTATCCAACAGGACTTAGGAATACGTATGTGTATCTCAGCAGTTGTTCATTCCTCTCCAACGCTGCCTAACAAATTCCAGCCACATCTTAGCGACACACATACTTTCCGCACTGCTCAGATCTGCCTTACTAAACCTGTGCACAAACGTATCACCACCCTCCCACAGTTGCCTGTTCAGATATAGAAACTAAATCTTCTTAGTCTAATTAGTTTTTGATTTATCTTCTAGAAAGTTAAAAACTGTACCTAGAATCAGTGTATCTCATTTAGCCTTCACTGTTAGGGGAAAACAAAAAACTAAAAGATCAAGACGCCAATTTGTGCACAAATGAACAGTGGTGGGCTCATGACTTCCAAAGATTGTAAAATTACTCCTTAAAGTTGCTATAATAGTAAGACAGTAGCAGCAACAGCATGAGACCTTAGACTGAGATACAATTTCATGCAAAAACAAAAACGGGAGTGTGTCTGTGTACGTGTGTGTTTTCATGGGGTGAGAGGTGGCGAGGGGCGGAGACCCTGGGCTGGTCCGGGAGGTCAGAAAGTGCCCTGCTATCTGTAAGAGCCAGGCCCGGCGGTGCTGTCCCGGAGTCGTTTTCAGTA